ATCTCCTGTGGCAAGTCTCAGGGATAATTGTGCAAGATGGTAAGCGCGGGTCGCGGCTGGCTTTTACGCCTCGAGGGATGTCATCACCGTCCTCGCGGGTTTCGCTGCCGAGGCCGGGCTCGAATTTGGCGTACTGGCGGAACACAATGGGTGTCGCATTGTCTGATTAATCGCTGGCGTCGCTCGTGGCAAGCCTCGGAATCCGACGAGGCTGGCCTCAGGCGAAGGCTGTGCGTTCGCTGTTCGGCCTCCGTCCGGGTTCGTCGAACGAATCCCGCGGCTCGGTACTCGCTGTCTTGCTGGCACTCGGAGCACGGGGTTTGGGGCCAGTAGGGGGCGATCGCGTGCCACCGGGCAGCCGTTAGGCAATGAAAGGGCAGTACGAGGCGGTAAGGAGGGAAGTCTGTCTCGATGATGACGACACCCGGTTCGGCGATGACGTGGCTTGCATGTGAACTGGGGAACTGGGAGGGAAAAGGGATCGCGCTCAAGGCCCGTTCAATGTCCCACTCACAAACACGTTCGTTTTCAGTCCGGTGGGGGAATTTCGGAGGGTTAAGTCTGGGTCGCGAGAGAAGGCAGACGTTCTTCCACTCCCAGTATTCTCGGAACCGTCGATGTCTCAGGCTTTCCCGATCCGTGACGTGGAAGGGAGTACTACTATCCATGCCGTCGGAAATTTGCAAGTTTAGACATGGGTTCGAACGCAGGTCTTGCAGACACACGTGTAGGCAGCGCCCTTTCTGGTCAAGCCTACATGTGCTTGCACAAGGTCACGTTCGCAATCCGTCGGGCCGGATCGGCTGGCTGTTCTCTGGCCGGGCGATAATCTAATCAGTCGTCGTGCTAGCCCGACACGTGGCACTTACACATTCGAATGCGTGTGTCCAAAGACAGGCATCAGGAAGGCAATCAGAAGGCAATCACACGTGTGGATCAAACATTCATTCATCAGAAAAAAAACATACATCAGCAAGGACCGCCAAATTTCCACCGGGCCCTTCCTTTTAATCGGAAAAAGAATAGAAAAGCAAGAACGGGAAATTGACATGCACATATGTGTCGAAATTCTTTGGTTTCCCAAAGAATGCCATCCATTCCAATAAGACAAAAGTGCTCGCAAAGGTTGGCCAATCATTAGGGGAGGAATTCAGTTGGGTGCATTTAATCAGTCGCTTAATTGCACGTGCTCTAGTTTATTTATGTCGGAGATTCCTACGTGTCCGTGTGATCCGACAGGGATTGCGCCAACAATCGGGTGATTGGTCCGCCCGATAGCTTAGTTTCGAATACACATTTTCCCTAGACCAGATACCCATGCATTGATCGACATTCGAGGATCGTGCGAATTCCCAGAAAAACCGAAACGAGAAATCGACGAAGATTCATGCATCGATCCTCGTAACCGAATAAGACCACATCGCCATAGTCCAAGCTCACAAAAGCCATGCATAAACAATCATCGTACCCAATCTCGACAATTTGCAGTACAAGCAGGAGTAAAGGGGGAAGATCAAGCCAATCACCGGGAGGGATAAAAACCAGAGATAGTCATGGGCAAAAAGATGGCTGACGTCACTTATCAAAACTATAGAGATGAGGGAGGAAAAGACACCACCCCGACACGTTCTCTCTCTCTCCTCATCACTTTTGATGTGGGCAGTCTGTCGCCTCGCACCAACACCGAGTCGTCACCCCGCTTAGTCCAAGCACGCAAGCCAAGTTTGCCTGTGTGCCACAGTCCGTCGTGGCCCGCACATCAACCCCCCTTACTCGGCACCAACTCGTCGGATCGCCCGACTCACTCTACTCACCTTCCAGCTTACTCGTTAGTCGATCCTCAATGACCGCGCTAACCTTCCAAACTAGGAGAGAGACAACTAACCGCGCTTGCGAAATTTATAGCATGCATGCTTGCGTGAGGAACCCGGGATTATGCCAAAGTAGAAGACAGGAGGAGGTACCTATGTCTGCATGGCCAGGTCGCGGTGCGGGGGACAGAACCACTCTCCACGCATCGATTCAGTCATGCAACATGGGGACCAATTAAAACAGAGAAAGGGATGCGCATACACGGGCGAGGGCAAGGCGGGAAAGCAGATATGAAGGACATCAAGAACAAGCAGATTACAGTTGCAATTGCACCCGCCAAAAATTACAGTTACACACAAGATTAAGGCGCACGGGATCAAAACCCAAATCTTGCCGAGGCATGGTGCGCATAAGCAAGATGCGTCGTGCAGCCAGATTGCAAGGTACCTAAATTCCTAGTCTAAATCCTAATTGCAAAAAGAAATTCCGAAAGGAAAATAATTCCGAGAGCCCGTGGGGGCTCGACATTAATTCGAAAATTCAAAAAACGATATCCCGCACGATGATCACGCCAAAATTTCGCAGTGCCGACAGTAGAACAAGAAAGAAGCTATGGCAACAGTTATTTCTCGCGCTCGCTAAGGCGCGGTCACCTAACTGCCTACGCGGGACTTTTCCCGGTATTGGCCCAACAAAATCCAAAAGAAAAATGAAAAAAAAGCGAGGGCATCCATGCAACCCGCCCGCCCGACCTATTCCTACGTACTTCACACGACCAGCCCATCCCGTTCCCCCCCAAAGCAGCTTCGCGCAGGAAGCGTGATTACAGAAAATAGTTTGTCACATATGTGACACCCAGGGGGTTCCAATCTTGAGCAAGCTCCTGCTTGTTGTTTCCTCAGGCGTCGATCTTTGATCCGATGATCGACGCAGAGCTTGCACGTGCCACTTACCATAGGATCCGACTGTGGAAGTCATCCAACGTGGCATTCGTGCGCTCCATAATTCTAAACAGCTGAGTGTCCGAAAATCGATTCAACGCGGGTTCCTCGTTGACAGATTCAACGCGCGTTGAATCCCCATTAAAAAGCCCGTTAGATGGGTTACAACGGGACCCGCGATGATTTTTTTTATGGGCTAAAAATAATAAAAAACAAATAAAAAATATAGGGTTGTAGATCTTTTCGAACTCTACAACCTTATATTTTTATTTTTATTTTTTGAGCTTTTACTATATTATGAAAAAATAAAAAACATAAAGATAATGGGGAAAAAAAAAAACAAAAAAAAAAATTTTTTTTTTTTTTTTTGTTACACAAAGATATTTTTAGAGCTAAAAAAAAAAAACAGAAAAACAAGCTAAAAATATAGGGTTATAGACATTTCAAAGATGTACAACAAAATTTTTTATTTTTTTTTACTTCATGTATTTAAAAAAAAAAACATAAAAGCAAATAAAAAAAGGAAAAACAGACACGCACGCACACACAGAGACACACAACACACACAAACTGTGACAAACACACATATGATGATATGCCCACACACACACACACACACACCAACAATCATGTGCACACACATACATACACACATACTTACAAACACACAGATACGTAAACACATGCGCATACATACATATTCATGCACATACACACTCTCACACGCAGGCACACACATACACATATGCGCTCACACACAGCACACCGGGGGCGAGGTCCCACTAGCAACGGGATAGGATAGAAACGAGTTTGTGGGGCAGTCGAGTGACCCAAATCCTGTCGTGCAGTACTCGTGATCCCACTGTCAGCATTTTACTTGTATTACCCGAAAAAGTAAGGAGATCTTCGTTCCCCTCCCCCTCTCCTTAACACTGGGCATGCCGTGCAAAAAACGTTTCCCACCAGAATCTTTTCAATCGGTTGGGGGTGTGGCCAACCCCAAATGAGGGTGGGGTCGGCCTTAGGCCCACTGGATTGAATATTTTCAGTATTTTACTTGCTGTTGTGCAATTATCTCATTGGGTGGAGCCCTCCTTCAATCACAGAGTATATGGAGGATGTCAGGATCAGTGCTAGCAGAAGTCAAGTTTATTCCAGACAATGTGGCGGTTACTTTATTCACTGTTGTTGCAACCACCACCAGTAGATCATTTGTGATCTGATGGCTGGGAAGCACTCTGCCGTGATTTCCGATGGAAGGTCTCTGTTTTTTTGTTTTTTTTTTGGCTTTCTTCTGTTTTCTCGGCCCAGAAATCCGTAATGAACCTGTCAGGCCGCTGCCACTTAGTGTCACACTAGATCGGCCACACTCCTAATATCCGACTACTAATAGGACCTCGCCCCTGCACACACATAATTGGGGCCTTGGGGATTGGGGGATGTGGGGGCGGATGGCTTAGAGGGCTTTTTAGTGGGTTTGGGGACTGGTGCCAGGGGGTTGGTGAGTGGCAGGTGGCAGGCCGGTCGGTGTTGGTATAAGAGGTGCTTCAAGGGTTAGGGGATTTTTTTTTTTTTTTTTTTTTTTTTGCCTAGGGCCACGTGTTCCGTACCCCA